CCACCATGCCCAGCTATAAATGTCTCTAATTCTGAATTTAGAGTCAAAACTCTGAATTCCAGAGTAGTGACAAATAATGGCAGTGGTGGAGCCATTAGTGTCAGTACAGTTTTTTAAAATCCTACTGATCTAGATATAATTGGTTAGTAAATATATTTGTCGTCGTCTTTCTTTTTCTTCTGTTTTTTTTTTCATTTATCTTCTCTGAGTATGGAGAATAAATATTTAGAATCAACATGAAAGGAAAAAAAGCACTGACGTGAGAGATGGACGTTTGTCAGCAATAGTACTGAAATAATGAAGCTTTGTTAAATGTATTTGCCACTTATCACATACTTTATTAATAATTTATTACGTTATAATTCATCAGCAGATGGTAAAATAGTTTGAGATCTACACATGGAAGATGATCTGGGAATAGGAAATCAATTGAGACATTTGTGCTAGAACATTATCATTCCATGAATTGTTCAATGAAATAATTAGAAGTTCAGTCTGAGAAAACCATTTAATTGTTTAAAATTATATATATGAACAGCGACAGAAAACCCAGTAGCTGGGTTGGAGCGCATATGGTAAGTGCTAATTTGCATAGCTTCTAAAGCTCTGGGATCTGGACTGGAACAGGTCTCAGGCTGGGCGGGCTTCTGCTCTCTACACCCCAGGATGGTCGCAAGCATCTCTCTCACATCTGTCCCCATGCGTCACACCCAGCGCTACCATCCTATCTCAGTCCCTCATGCCTTCTCCCACGGTCTGTAGTAATAATCTCTTAATTGGCCTCTCTTTCTTGGAGCTTTTCCTTTTCTGACTTCTTTGCACAGAGCTCGGATTAATCTTAGTATAATTCTCTCTCATTATTCTTCACAGCCTCTTAAATGAAATCCAACCTTCTCAGCTAAGCACTCAAAATCCACTGTGAATTCCAGCCTCACTCCCTGTCTGGCTCGAATAACTCATACACCCTGACTGCGGATTCGCTCGCACAGAAATAAGCAACATTCTTCTAGCTCAGCCATATTCCTACTTGTTTCCTAATCGCTGGAGAGACCTTGTGTTCTATCTGCGGCTCTTGGCCCTCTTCTGCCTTATGGTCTTGCCTGAGGTCTTTTGCTTATATCTATCACCACATCCTTGAGTCCCTTCATAAGAAGAATACCAGAATTCGAGGCCAGCCTGAATTACATAGTGAAACCCTGCCTCAGGAGAAAAAAAAAGTTGACTGGCACACACCTGTAACCCCAGCGTTTGGGAGGCTGAGAGAGGAAAATTACCACGAGTTTGAAGTTTGGACTACAAAGTGAATTCAAGACCAACCGGAACTCCATAGGGAACCCTATCTCAAAAAGAAAAAAAAAATACTAAAAACACTTTGGTGAGACTCTGGAATCAACTGTTCACGTATGTTACTTGAGCACATTCTCATGCAGCCCTGTGGTGAAGGTATCAGTACGGAGCTAGTAAGTGGCAATGTCAGGAGAAAGTCCAGAAGGATCAGCTCTACAAGTCATATATCCTTTTCATATCTCTATCTCCTTGGCAGTTAACATGATTCAATCCTTGCCATGGTAGCAGCCCCATGTTATGTTCTGTCAGTGAATAACTTTGTGTGTTAGACCTCAACTGACAAGGTATGATTAAACTATTTATTTTTTCTTAGACACTTTTTCTCCACATAAATTTAGCTGCTGCCATGTACAATTTTCTTGGTTTTGTTTTTGCTATAGACTGCATTCTGATCAGAAGAGTTCTCTGGCCAAATTAAACAAGAAAGAAATTTATTGTACATTTGGAAAGATACAGACTAGGTCACTTATTCATAGAAAAAGCTCAAGGTCCAGGCTTTGGAAAAGGCAGCTCTGAGCAGCCAATGGCAGGCTGCTTGGTGTTGACCCATGAAAAATCAGCTTCGATGTCTTTCTGTCCCTGTCACTGCACCTTAGTTGTATTTCCAAGAGACACGGGCAAGTGTCTCAACTGTTTTACCCCCTGTCCTGGAGGGGACACCAAGTTCATTCAAACAACACACTCTTAGTCAGGTGAAGGCTGGTTTCCCAAAGAAAAATGAAGGCCAGAAGATAGGACCCTGGACAAGAAGGCCAGCTTAGGTAGGCGCTTTTGGTAGGTAGTTTTAAGTACTTTCTATGCGCTGGGAATTACAACTGTTCAAAAAGTAGAATAGGCCTGCTCTGAAGAATGAGGACACATAACTTATAAATAGGAAAAGGAATACAACAGACCAATTAAGGCCGGCAGTGTAATGTTAGCACTGAACTGAAGGTATGGGAGGTGGGTGCTATGGTAACGAGGATTTGCTTCCTGAAGTCTTGCAGCCGTTTCCCAATGTGCCAGCATTTCCATGCTGCTGCCAAAGGGCCTCTTCCCCGTCCAAATCCCGTTCCTCTTGGGAGACAGCTCAAGGACCACTTCCTCAGGAGGCCTCTCAGCAGCCCTCCCCAAAACTCTGCTTCCGCAGAACTTTCTTTGTGCTCTCTAGGGCACAGAACACTCGCGCCATTTTTATTTCCTTCTGCTCTTTCTCATCTCTCCTGTTACGGTTTGTATCTGGATGTCTCCCCGTGCGGTTGTCATGGGGGCAGGCTTCTAGAATTTGTGGTTGATTCATGTCCGGCGCTGGGATGATGGGTGTGGCCTACATACAGCATAAGGGACAGAAAAACCTTCTCTTGTGCTCTTCCCTTTGTGCTCTTGTGTTTTTGCTGTCTTCTGCCGCTGTCAGCTGTTGCCCTCTGCCACATGCCACCCGCCTTACAGCCAGCTGATTGTGACCGAAACCTCCACAAACTATGAGCTAAATAACCCTTTCCCTCTTTGATTTTGGACTTAGGTATTTTGTCTTAGCAATGAGAGAAAAGTAATCAAGATACTTTCTCAAAAATAAAGACTTTGTAGCTTTCTTTTTCTTTGCCCCTTTTCTATGCTGTGATGATGAATTTTCTGTGTCTGTGTAGCTGGACTGTGAGACCCAGTTTTGGGAGTCAAACACCAGCCAAGACAAAGTCAGGAATGTTTAGATGTAATGGTTATACCCTGTTGCCTTCCAGTACAGGAGATTACCCTTCATTCTGTGGCTGGGTTTCTTCTAATCTATTGACACACAAAGCAAGCACCAAGGTTTCCCGAGGAGGAAGTCATGTTCTCCAGGCTGCTGCCTGAGGGCCTCAACCCCAGCCTGCGATGCAGTGCAGCCACAGATCCTGACTGGATTTCCAGCCAGGTGGTCCGCACCACCGGGGGAGGCTAAAGACACACACATCCTTATCAGTTTGCCCCTCCACCAATAAATAAACAAACGAATAAATGAATAAATAATTGAGTAATTCTCTCTAGGTTTTGTATTTTTTCACAGAGTGAGTGAGGGCCGGATGTGTACTTGGCTGCTTTAGGTCTTAGGACTGCAGGGTACAAGAGACAAAAATCTCTGTGGTCTTGAGCTTGTATACTAGAGACTGAAGCAGGTCATGCACAGATACATGAAATGCATGGGATATGAGACAGTGGCCTTAGGGTTACACTGAGCTACAGCTCAGCCCTTTTTTATTTTTTATTTTGAGACAGGTTCTCATTAAGTCACCTGGGCTGGGCTCAAACTTGTGATCTTCCTGCTCAACCTCCCGAGTGCTGGAATTACAGGTGTGCAGCAGTACACCCGCCTTGGTTTCTGGTTTGATTAGCTCCATAGCTCTAGATAAAATGCTTATGGTCAATTGAGCAGTCCCTTTTAACTCTCTTCTCACTGCTCACCTCCTGCCACATGGTGCAAAGACTAGAGTTCATCTTGCCAGCTTCCCTTGCAACCTGCCTGTGTATCCTGTCTGGGCAATTAGAAGTAAAATGAAGCCTGCAAACTCGCTGCGCTGAAGAAAAAAAAGCCTGCACGAGCACACTTTATAAAGCTGCACCTTGTGTTTGGATACCTTTATTGAAATTAATAAGTATTACTATCTGCTTCTGATTGGATTTAGCTCAGGTCCTTCCCCAGGAATGAATGACAGTGTGAAAAATACTTCTTTGTTTTTCAGGTTTTTGTGACATTGTTTGTGAAGATGGGGATCGTCTTGCTGTCTTTCTATCAATTCACTTCTCTATGAATGTATCACAAATATCACTGAAAAAGTTAAAGTGATGTCAATTTACAAATTAAAAAAGAAGCCTTCAAGAGTGAGGAACTTACCCAGAAAAGTTTTTGTTCCCCTACAAAAGAGGATCACAGCTGGGCTTCCCAGTCCCCTTTTGTCCTGTCTGGAGGGTAGATGTGATAACTGGAGCTGCAGCAGCCGTGTTGAAGTCAGAAACAATCAGCACAAAGACAAAAGGCCAGTATTCTAATGACAACACAACAAGGAGAAGCAGAGCCTGGGTCCCTGCTGGCATTTGAGAACAACTGGATTAGCTGCAATCACTACTCATCTCAGATACACAAAATATTAGATATATGTAGATTTTAAACCAATTCTTCAAGTGGATTCTGTGAACCACCAGGAATTATTACTAGGGACCTGTTAAAAAGGTAAATTCTGACTCCACTTAAACTTACAGTCAGAAATTCCAAGGTGGATCCAGCAAGCTGAGGTTTAACACACCTTCCTGGTGACTCTGACACCCACAGAAGTTCCAGAACCAGCAGGGTGGCCCTCGTGGAGTTGGAAAGGACCTCCAGAGAAAGGACCTTGTGGGAGCCCCTCTTCTCATGGACAGTGTGCCTCAAAGGGTTCACAGGGCTTCAGTCTCTTCCTCTCCTTTCCTCCCCTTCTCATCCCTCTCTCCTCTCCACTTCCTGTGCGATGCAAGGTGACCTCACACTGCTTGCTGTCACCATCTAACACACTCTACAACTGGGAGCCAGAACAAACTTTTTCCCTGCGCACCTCCGTGGCTCAGGTGTTTGGTTACAGTGGCAGGGAGCTGGCTGACACATTACTGTTTCTGAACCTTTTATCAGGTACTCACTGTGCTGCGGGCCTAGCAGGGGCAGCTTGGCTCCAGTGTGCATTCTGACATAACAGTTACACTGGGGTCCCCTTTAGTCTCATGCCCCACCGCCCATGCCAGCACTGGCAGGGGAAGAGGCTCAGCTGGACACCTCTCTGAGTTCCTCTGAGAATCACCCTCGGCTGAAGAGCACACACTTGCCAAGGTGGACACCGGATCACTAGGTCAATGTGACCCTTTGGCGAGAGATCAGTGCGGAACTGTGCCAACTTTCAAGGCAGGTTTGAGAATTCCAAAGGAAGCTGTGATTGCGTAGGGAGGCCGGGATGATAGGCTCTTTACCCTGGCTTTTGACGCGGTTGAGAGGTGCAGGGAAAGGCTGGGCGCTGGTCAGGCTCGGTGAGGAGGGGAAGGCCCAGGCTGCCTTGTGGGCAGTAGGATTCCCTGCAGCTGCAGGACAGAAGAGGCCAGGAGCAGGAGCAGGACTTTGGTATAAAAGCAACAGAGTTCCAAAGAAGGGGGATCCCCTTCCCATCGGGCCGCTGCCCTTCCCCGAGGACCACTCCAGCTCGCCGAGGAACCATTCTCATTTCCTCTGCTGAGCTCGAAACCGGCCACTGGGGTCAAGTGACCAAGACCCAGCAGGAGAAGTGCTGGGCTGCTGAGAGCCAGGAGCGGCCCAGCGCAGGAAGCAAGAAGCAGGCCGAGGAGCTGGGGCTCTGCGGGGCTGGCGTGAGAAGCTGGGAACAGGTAGGGGACTGTGCTGGGACGGAGGTGGCGCTGAGGGAGCAGAGATGGGGAGATGGAAGCACAGGAGACAGGAAAACATTCGGAAACTAGCATTCCAGAGCTGAGGCTGATGACATGGAGATGGAATGAAAAGCTTCCAGGCTAATGGTGACACATTAGTGGGTCTTGATATATTTTCTTTTAATGTCTTTTTTAAAAATTAGAGCGTGTTTGCAGTACGCAGTGTTGGCATTCCTTGTGTGGAGCTGGTACATGCATGTGACATGTACCAACATGTACATGTACTTTACTTCCTTTTTCACCCTCTTTCTCTCCCCTACCCCTTCCATCTCTTGATCCCCTTCCCATTTGAGAAAGGTCTGTCTCATACATCCTGTTCCCTGTTATTTTGCTCTTTATAATCTGAGTTTCTTACATAGCAGAAACCATGTGATATTTCAGCTTGTGTGTCTGATTTCAGTTAACACTGTGGTCTCAGGTGCATCCATTTGCCTACCAGGACTCAAGTTTATCATTTGTTATGGCAGAGTAGTATTCCGTTGGGTGTAAATATCACCTTCTTTATCCATTCATCTATTGATAGATAGATTCCAAGATTTAAGTATTATGAATTATACTGCTATGTATGTGGATATGCATATGTCCCTGTTACATGATGTCTTTCGCTCTTTCAGGAAGCTACCTAGAAGGGGAATGACTGGGTCTAGTGGAATTTCTAATTCTAGTTTTTTGAGGAACCACTGATTTTCCAGTGGTTGCACTAGTTTACATTTCCATCAATAATCTAGAAGAATTTCCTTTCCTCACAGCTTTTCTAGCATTTGTCATTATTTGATTTCTTGATGATGGCCATTCTTTCTGGGTAAAGTGGAATCTTAATGTTTTAATTTGCATTTCTCTAATGACCAGCAATGTCGCACATTCCTTCATGTATTCATTGGCCATTTGTGCTTCTTCTTCTTCTGTGACATGTCTATTCATTTCACGTGCTTATTTTTTTTTTTTTTTTTTTTTGTCTTTTTCCTTTTTATCGGTACCGGGGATTGAACTCACGACTGCCTGCTTGCAAGGCAGGTGCTTATGCCACTGAGCTAAACCTCCAGCCCCTAATGTGCTTATATTTTAATTTTGATTTTTTTTTTTGTATTTGGAATCGAACTCAGGACCTTGCACTTGCCAGGCAGGCACAGTGCCATTGAGCTGTATCCCCACCCCCTTGATTGAGGCTTTATTTATTTATTTATTTTTTGTCTTTTTGAGACAGGGTCTCGCTGTGCAGTTCAGGCTGGCCTTGAGCTCACTTTGTAATCTAGGCTGGTTTTGAACTTGCAGCAATCCTCCTGCCTCAGCCTCCTGAGTGCTGGGATTACAGGCAGTGAGCCACCACGCCCGGCTGAGTCTTATTTTTGAGAAGGTATAATTTTTTGAGTTCTTTATGTATTCTAAATATTAGTCCTTTATCTGAGGAGAAGCTGGCACATTTTTTTCCCATTCCACAGGTTTTCTTTTCATACTGTTGGTTGTTTCTTTTGCAGTACGGCAGCTTTTTGATTTGATATGACCCCCAAATATGTCTTTGATTCTCAGTACCACTGCCTGTGCCACAGAGTTCTGTTCAGAAAGCCTTTGCCTGTGCCTATTTGTTCAAGTGTTTTACCTATTTTGTTTCCCAGCAGGTTGTTGGAACATTTAGTTCATTGATCCCTTTTGATTTTAGCTTTGTACATGGCGAGAGACATGGGTTCTTAAAAATTCCCCAAGGAGGAAATTTATGAAGACACACAAAAAAGAAACAAATTGATAACAATACTGTAAATTTAAAAATGAAAAACTATCCCAGAATCCCAGGTTCTTTCTCCTAGTTGCATCATTATTTGATTGGACTGTGAAACTCTGTATGATTTCCTTTAGAATATACGTGTGCAAAAACAGGGGAAAGAGTGGGCTCCTATCACCACCAGCCCCACCAGGTCCCCTGACCCCAGGGTGAAGGGGCTGTATCTAACCAGAAAAGCAAAACATCACCCCCAAACACAGAAGAATGACTCTCTTCTAGGGACTGTGACAATTATGTTTGATTGTGTCACTGAATTGGGAGGCCTCAAGGGGATTGGTTGGATACACTTCTGGGTGTGACTGGGCGGGTCCTGGAGGCATGGCCTTAAGTACCAGACATGGTCCCTCATCCCTAGCTCTTGGGCACTGTTCCCCTGCTCTGCTCTGCTTCCTGCTTGGCATGAGCTAAGCAGCTTGTTCCACTGCTGTCTTCCGCCACGTTGTTTCTGCCGCGGAGCCAGCCAACCATGGAGTGAATCCTCTGACACCGTGAGCCAAATGAACTCTCCTCCTTTAAATTGTAGGTGTTGGGTATTCTGTCCCAACAGTGAGAACGCTGACTAATACTGGGCCACTATTGGGATGAGAGGTGGAGAGGCCAAAAAGGACTCTTGCCATAATTTTAGTGCTTGCTTTTTTACACAGAGAACATTGCTCATGTAACTAAAAATGTCACCAGGAAAAATACTTCACTATATTTTTCACTGACTCTTAACTTTTATTTATCACATGTTAATCTCTTCCTGATCTTCTTTCCAGCCTTGCATGGAATTGTCTGTTTTAATTAATCTTCCATCCTTATGTCAAAGTAATGTCCCTCAAAAGTTTGCATAGAGACTTCCAGGTATTTTGCCACCAAAATCTGTTTTTTGGCTTCCTTGGTCACAGCTGCAACTTGCCGGGTGACACCACTTGGGCCCTCCCACCTCAAGGTCTGTTTCTTATTTCTGCCCTCCTCCCTTCCTCCCAGCTGACAGGACCAGGGCCTCTCCTGGCTTCCACCGCGTTGTGTCTGAGGGACAGATGCATTTCAGAGAAGCCACCGTCTGCCTGAGCACTGGTAAAACTCACCACCTGGGCAGTCAGTTACCGGCCTCCAACAGAGCCAGTCACAGAACCGTCACCTAGGCCAGACGTCTCTCAAAACAGGCCCGACATCCCTAGCAGAAGGGATGCTTTCAGTCAAAATCCAACAGTTAAGCCAAAAACAGAATTTCCAAATAGAATTGTATTTTCTAAAACTCATAGTTCACTAAGAAGACAACAAAAGGAGACAGGTTTCAGTTTAGAATTGATAAATGGAAGACCGTCTTTAAAATATAGATCATATATTGAAAAAGATTATTAGCGATTGCCTTTCCTGGAAATTTTCAAAAAAGAGCATAGAGGATTGTTGTTCTTAAATGATGTTGCTGTGGAGCACCTTGGAGGCAAAAATCGAAAAGAAAATACTCTTCTGAATTTCCTGTGTTTTTATTTACTGTTTCTGACAACGCTCACCTCAGCACTCTTTACCTTTAGCTCATCGTGATGTGGCAGACATTCTGAAGGTGACAGGGAGGTGAAAGAGAGTCATGATATCTGAGATCATTTTACCTTGGGAATTGAGAAGAAATTATTTCAGCCTGTCAGTCTGCTAACTGAGCAATTAATGAAGCAGGTGGTATAATTCAATCTTTAAGTTATTTCTAGAATCTTAATGAATTAGTCAATCCATTCTTGAAAAGAAAAAAAAAAAAACCTTAAGGAAAATAGTTACCCCACCCCCGCAAAGAAATCCTGTAAAGCTGTGATTTCTATCTGAAGACCACATTGATCAGAATACAACAGAGATGTTCCCTCCTCCACACTGCAACGTGATGTCCAAGTCTCCCTCAGAATCTAACACCCGTGACAGTTTTAAAAAGTGTCTTGTCTGTGGTGAGCAGTGATTTGGAAATCCCATCGAATAAATGCAACCGGCATACATCGCGTGATTTACAACAGCTTTTTGACAATTCAGATCCTTTCTTGAGTGTCATCCTGCCACGTGACAGGTGCTGGATCCTCTGGGTCAGGGGCAGCTGAGGTCTGGGGACTTAAACAGCGCCACCGCAGGGGCAGGCGTGTCTGGCTGGTCTGCCTGACTCCTCTGCCTGTCTCTGGCTCACGCTGGCCTAGGCCCTCTTGACACGTGCGCTCTCTTACCTTCTCCCTGCCGCACTCCTGAGTGGAGGTGGGTGGGGAGGCAGCCCCAGCCCCTGCGCCAGTCCCTGTGACTCTCGGGGCAGGGAAGGAATCTTACCTCTCCGCTCACCACACCCTGGCTTAAGGAGCTGTCTCAAGGCCACCTCTGTCCACCTGCTGGGACACGCAAGCCAAACATTTCTTTTGAGGCCTCACCCTACTGGGTGAGAGGGACCATGGACCTGCTCTGACTTGGGAATGCACCCCAGAAGCCTCTATCTTTGGATTCCCAATACCCCTGGGGAAGCTGGGGAAAGTTCCAGAATCCTTCCTTAGGGACACACTGGGTCCAAACCTTCTTTCTTCTGATTCTCTCTTCATGTTCCAGGTCCAAGTAGTCTCAGAGGCGGCATTTAGATCACCCAAATTGTTTATGCTCTCAGATTGCCAAAGTTTGGGCTTATCACATTCAAAAAGTCTTTACTGCTGGGCATGATGGTACACATCTCTAGCCCTGGCTGCTCAGGAGGCTGAGACAGGAGGATCACAAGTTTGCGGACAGTCTAGGCAATTTATCATCAGCTTGTTTCAGAATAAAAAGGGTTGGGGAGGGGTCAAAATTTGCCTGGTATCAATCCGCAATGCGCGCGCGCGCGCGCGTGTGTGTGTGTGTGTGTGTGTGTGTGTGTGTGTGTGTGTGTGGAGGGTGTATGTGGGCGGGTGTTTTTCTACCTTCTCCAGGTAATGTCCACCTTTAAATGGAGCTATACAGTAAATTCCAGAAAATTAGAAAGGTGTCCGTTAGTCTATCCAAGTGTGACAAGTCTACACTGCAGTGAAAGAAATTCCGTGGGGTGAGACTGTCAGAAGACGGAGATTCAGGCTGGAGCCAGGCCTGAGAAGCCCAGCCTTGACCCGCAGGTCCGCAGGTCAGCAGGGCGGCACTTCCTGGCTTCTTGCCCACCCCCAGGCCGCCTCTGCCCTTCTGCACCCGCAAAACCCTCCCGAGAAAGGGGATCCACTGCTCTGCTCCGGCTTGGGGCTTGGAGTCGGGGCCTCAGTCTCTCCTGGATCTTGGGAGGTCTGTCGGTGCAGGCTGGCTTCCCACATTCCTTCAGATTGGAAAACTGGGAAGAAAAAGTAGAAATAAATGAATCTCCCCTACCTTGGAAATTAGTTCTTTCAACAGATTGTGTTAGCACTTGAAATCACTGCTTTAACTACTGAAGTTGATTAAATTAGCAGCTTTGTATTTTGCCAAGATTTTTATAGGCTTTTCCCCCGTTCTCAACAAATTAAAACCTGGCTCGCAGGGGGGTGTAGTAGACTGGAGACATTTTTCCTCCTGTCGCTGGATGCTGATGTAGCAAGCTTTTGACAGTTTTTAAAAAGAAAAATTTAATTCTTGATTACTACTCTTTATGTATCTTATACCAGGACTACAATACTATAGAGGTGTGTGGGAGGAAAACTGATATCACACTGAAGAGTTTAACAAATATTTGTAATATAGAGTCTTTAATTGCTTCATAGAAATCTATTATAACAAATAGTTATTGTATTTCAGAGCTAATGCTAGATGTTCAGTAATATGTTAATGAACTGAATAAACAAATTTCATGACATAAATGTCAGATGCAGTGCAAACTAGATTTAAAACATTTTTAATTCAAATATATTTTATCATAAAATATAATAACTGCAGGGGCTGGGGATTTAGCTCAGTGGCATAAGCGCCTGTTTGGCAAGCGTGAGGTTGTGAGTTCGAACCCCAGTACAAAAAAAAATTTATATATATATATATAAACAACTGCTAGCAATCATATTCACTGTTCAAAAATATTCTCTAAAATTTATAAAAGGTACAATGGTTGACTTAATACAATGTTCGAATACAAAAAAGGGGTAAATGATGGAATGTGGTTATACGGTGTTCAAAATAACATTATAACCCTGACTGCCAATTCAAATGAAACACATATTTTTTCTAAACCCTGAACTCACATCAACTTTCAAAGTATGCATTTTTTTTACTTATGTTATAATTGGAAGTGAAAATAGGACACAAAAGTATATACGTAATATATATATTTTTAGGACTATCACAGCACTGTTTTTTTTAAACTTTGCCTGAATAAAGCCCAAAAAGAAATGTTCTTACACATTATTAATGATTATCTTTTGGATGGCAGGTATAAATGTGATTTTTTCCCCTACACATTTCTTTTTTTATTACTGACATTTTCAGAATCTTCTGTAATGAACACCTATTTCTTTTCTTTTGACCAAATACCTGAAAAAGACTACCTTGAAAAGGAAGTATTTATTTGTCACCCGTCACTTGCATTTGCTAAGTATGTTCCTAGTGCTCCTCAGATTGTTTGGAAAGTTGGAGTGAGCAGGACTTAAAGGCTGAAGTGGATGCCGAGTTGCCTCAGTGCACGCCGTACAGTGTTACCAGGAAGCAGGTATCAGAACAAGGATCAAACACACTTTCCTCTTCAAAGTAATAAAGACACTGAATAGTTACAATTTCAGTGTAACTCTCCTCCCGCGAGTCTAGCGCTTTGCCTTTGAACTGCCCACTGGAAAGAGCCAGGTGTGTAAACACTCAGATCTCTCCAAGGTTGACGACTGCTTCCTCCACGTTTCGTTTCCATCACGGTTTCGGTGCAGGAACATCGTGGTGTAAAGTGGCTGAAAACCAAGGCCGGGCGGTGTGGAGTTGCCTGTTGATTGCTGGGGTTTCTATAGATTTTATCTATAGACCTGATGAATTCCGCTGATGAGGAAGGCAACAGAAACAAGGATCAAAAGGAGAGGAGGCCTCTGGTTATCTATTTGACTGAAAGTAATAGTCATGATTTGAATATTTTATAGGTGCTAAGCTCATCCAGAATAACTCTCTAATCTACCTTTAATACAGCTGTTGGCATTGGTTTGTACCAGTTTGTTCAAGAGTCTTTAGGAAAACAAGTATGTGTTTGCCTGATTTATCTTACTGGAGTGGAAAAGAAAATTGTTGGGCATGAAATCAAGAGTCCCATAGACGTTGCCAAGGCAAACAGATTCATGAATTAGTTACTTTCAATTAAATCTTAACATGTTTATAAAACTAACTATTTCTCTGGGCATTAGTCTGCCCCAGTTCTGTATTCTTAGCAACATCACTATTTTATTAAACTTGTATTGTGAGCTGAAGTACTGTATCTCAAAGACTATCTTTAAAATTTTATACATGAGTGATTAAAACGAGTATCCAAGGGTTGTTTCCGTGCTTCTCTGTCAGAAAAGAGAATTTGAAGCCAGGCATAGTGGTGCACACCTGTGATCCCAGCACTCTGAGGCAAGAGGATCACAAGTTTGAGCCCAGCCTGGGCAATGTAATGATTTAGTAAGGACTTGTCTCAAAATAAAATAAAAATAAATGTAAAATGAAGGAGCTTGGGATGCAGTTCAGGGTAAAGGCCCTGGGTTCAATCCCCAGGAATAAAAGAAAGGAAGAAAAAAAGAGAAGAAAATAAAAAGCAGGAAAATTTACATAGTCATCTAAAATGTAATAAAAAATTCACTATATGCAACAAAGTATAGAAAAGAAGTTACAAAAATCTGAGTTTCCAAGACGGAATAAGTCTTGATGGCTCACCCACCTAAGGATGTTCAAAATACAGACCAGTCCCAAAGCCTAACAATCTCCCCCAGCCTGCCACGTGCCAAAACCTTTGTGCCTGTCCCAGTGAGCGCACATGCCAGGGATTAAAGGCCCAAGAACAAGGAGAGAGGCTGGACTGGAAGGGAAGCTTCCAAGGGGCCTGCGTGGCCAGAATTACAACCCGAGGATCCCGCAGATCAGGACTGGCAGCTGCAGGCATGGGGCGGGGCAGAGCCTGCATTAAGCAAGCGCAGGGAAATTGAGCAGCCTCAGGAGATGGAAGGGGACCAGTGGAACCAAGAGCACAGAATGGTAGAGTGGAGCTAGACTATAGGTCTAGTTGTTAGGATTCTAAGAGCAGGAACATGGTAGCCTGAAGGAGGTAGAGAATTGGGATGCATAAAAAGAGAAAAAGACTTGTAGGTTCTATAAAAAGATGATAATAAACTTACCTCAAGAGGTGATTGAAAAAGTTAAATGAGGGAGTTCAGGATGTAGGTCAGTGACATAAATGCCTGTCTAGCAAGCACAAGGTTGTGAGTTCAATTCCCAATACCCTCTGCCTAAAAAAAAAAAAAAAAAAAAAGTCAGGTAACTATTAATGGATCTAGAACAAAATGTATAGAAGAAAGCGAAAATAAGAGTAGATTCCCAGAGTTCTCTGAACGGCTATTTGGGGCTCTAATGTGGTTTCTCATCAGTGTTTCTCTTCATTTCTAGATTCTGAGCACCTTCTGAACCTGGAGCCTCACCTTCCAGCTGACAACCCAGTCTTTGGAGGTAACATTTCATTATGAAACTGAAGCAAAGTTCAATGTTAACAGAGCTGTCTTATCCGAAATAATGCTTGTAAGTGGTTTTTTCATTGAGTAAGCATTAATTTCCAGTGGGACTAATCTGGTAGACAAATACACTGCAGACTCGACTTTCTTTCTCTCTTTTTTTGAGACAAGGTTTCACTCTGTTGTTCAGGGTGACCTCAAACCCATGGCGATCCTCCTGCCTCAACCTACTGAGTATTGGAACAACAAGCATGCACCATCATGCCTCGCTGATCACAGACTGTCAAAGTCAAAAGAGACTGTAAAAGTCAAAATAGTCTAACAAGATATCTGAATTGTCTAAAACAACCCTGTATTTGTTGTTTATTGTCGCATAAAAATATGCCCCCAAATATGACAATTATAATCTCACAGTTTCCCAGGGTCAGGAATCCTGGAGTGTCCCAGGGTTTTTTAGTGGTTCTGAGTCTTGGTCTCTCAAGAGATTGCAGTGAAACTGTTGTCTAGGGATATAGTCAACTAAGGTTTGCATGAGCCTAGAAGATCCATTACAAGCTCGCTCAGGGTGCTGATGGAAAGAGACTCCTGTTCTTCATTCTGTGCTCTCTCCACATGTTCAGCATGTGACCAGTTAGCGTCCCCACGCTGCCCCACCAGCAAGCGATACACGACGAGGGCCACACCATGCCGCCTTTGAATGACCTTGTATCTAAGTCATATCGCAGCGCAGTGATTTATCCTATTCATTAGGAGTCAGTCATTAAGTCCAGCCTACAATTAAGAAGGAGATGACACAAAGGCATGAATACCAGGCAGTACAGGTCTTGCGGCTGTCTCGGAGACTGGCTACCAGAGCAAGCCTACAAGATAGCATTTAATTCTTGCATGAACACCTCCAGACATGGGTAACTATTTGGAAGGCAGCCCAACCCGTTTTTGAAGAGCAATATGATTTAACTTAGACTGAGCTAGTATCTCTGGTAACTTCCATACATCAATCTAATTTCATTCCCAATTTTAAAAAAATTTGTTTCTATTAACTTTTTAATTATTCTTTTTTTTATTTTAAAAAGAAAAAAACCCGCAGGGGGGCAGGGAAACAACAGCAACAATAAAACCCTCCAAAACAACAGCAATATATAGGATTTCAAGGCAAGATGATGGGAATTTAACAACGGTTCTCCAATTTTTTTTAATGGCACGGTCATTGAAATATTTGGAAAAATGTCCCCTTTCCAGTCATGACACAAGTAACTCAAATTCCTTTCACTATTTCTTATCCAATGAGAGTTTCAGTCTGCTGTCTGTTCTTATTGCTTGCTTGTGGGCGTATGTGGCTTCATTTTTCAGATTAGGGGCAGAAAGAGCTGAACGCCTTATTGGAGGGAGGGAGGAAAGGAGAAGACTGTTCTTACTTGAGCAGGAACCTAGTCACACAGCTGGCTGTGCACATCAGTGATTCTTACCCAGCTTGTAATCCCCTAAAACTCCTACTTCTGTTCCTCACACAGCCCTCATCTCTAATAGCTATAGGTGATGTTTTAGACTCCAAGTGAAGATCTTATATTTATCCCCCATTACATTGTTTTGTCTTTGCTTTATTTGTTTAATAATACCAAATGACTTATATGTACATGCATCACATTTTCTGATGTTATGAAACTTTTACAAAGAGTCACTACTGGCAAGTTAATTTCCTCAACTCTGAGATGTCAATGATTGCTAGATGCACTATTGATTTAATAACTCCTTTTCAGGGGAAATAACAATACATTATCCAAATAAATCAGCCAGAATAGATGCATTATGATTTCACAAGTATGGCAATATGAAAAAATATTAGAATTAAGGAAATAGAGATGTTGGTTAGTGGTATTAACATTCAGAAAGATTTTACCAGACTAGAAAAGCTGTACATATCTGAATCAAGGCCAAGAATATAACCCAACTCAAAGTAATTTTATGTATTTAATCATTACCTTCTTCATTCAAATGTTCATGGAACATCTGCTATGTGTCAGGAGTGGGCAAGGCGAAGATGGATAAGACTTAGACTCTGACCCCTGGAGCTCACAGAGTTCATTAAAAAAAAAAAAAAACAATGGTTGAGTTCAAGCATTAATGTTATAACTTCTGTTCTGAATACAGTATTATTGTTTCTCCTTGGGTAGATCTCTTTTTTTTTTTTCCTGGGGTAGATCTTGCTTGCCAAACATGATGGTTTGGAGACTATGGGTTTAGAAAATTCACATAAGGGATATATCTCCTTGTGAAGATTTGGCTTTCTAAAAATCCACAAAATGGTGATTCTGAAACAGACCTTCTTCCTGAAGTTTCTTTTGCTTAAAGAAAAATGTAGATAGCCAGATGGATAGGTGGGTGGGTGGCTGAAATGGATTGGTGGGTGGATGAGGGGGAGACAGGTAGAGGGAGAGACAGAGATGGGGAGATGGAAGCAGTGTCAGAGACAGAGACAGGGAATGGGGATCAGAGTGAAACACCAGGGATGAAACTGAGAAATTACTTCTGCATTTTTCAGAAAAGACAAAACTCATAATGAGACTTCTATATTGGTGAGCAGAGAAGTTCTTACTTAGGGAAAAGGCAGATGGGATATCAAGCACAGACCACTACTACCTACTTTCTCTTTTAGATTGTAAGCAGTATCTGGGTGTGGTAGCTCACGCCTGTAATTCCAGCACTGTGGAGGCTGAGGCAGGAGGATTGCTGCAAGTTCAAAAGCAACCTGGGCTAGAAACTGAGCTCAAGGCCAGCCTTAACTGCACAGTGAGACCCTGTCTCAAAAAAAAAAAAAATTGTAAGCAGATTTGAGATCTAACTTTCCTAAACTTCCTAAATACTGTAAGATTCCTAAATTCCTAGATGTATTTAATTATAGCTTAGTTGAAAAATAGTTCAAATACTATGTATAATTTTCCATTTAAAATGTATAATTTGGTGGCCTTTAGTGTCTTCGCAGATTTGTATAGCCATCTCTATACTCAATTTTAGAATATTTTTATCACCCTAAAAGGAAACCTCACATTCATTTACACCACTAACTCACTCCTCCACTTACCTAAATCTCTCTGCAGTGCTATGCAATCCTAACCTTCCTGTCTCTATGGATTTGCCTACTCTGGACATTTCAAGTAACTAGAATGATTTGTGGTGTTTTGTAACTGGCTTTTTATTTTTATTTTTGGTTCTTTGAATCAGGGTCTATGTTATTCAGGCTGGCCTCAAACTCATGGCAATCCTCCTGCCTCTGCCGCCCCAGTGCTGGGTTCTACAGGACACGCCCCACTCTCCGCTGGTTTCTTTCACTTACTAATTGTTTTAGGTTTATTCATATTGCTGCCATATCAGTACTTCCTTTCTTTTGATAGCTGAACAATATCCTACTACATGAATATCACATTTTGTTTTATACACCATCACTTAATATTTGGGTTGTTTCTGCCCTTTTAGTTATTATGAGTAAGACTGCTGTAAACATTTATTAGCTCCACATGTTGCCTTACGGGAAGGGCCAGCCTGCTCCAAAGTGGTTCTGCCAAAGTGGCTCTGCCATTGGGTCCCCGGCAGCACAGCGCAGCGTGAAGGTTTTGGTTCCTGAGGTCTCGCCCTCCTCTGCCTTGTGGCTCGCCTCCTCGTGGGTGCGAAGTATCTCACTGTACTTTCCGCTTGCTTTTCCTGCGGAACTCATAATGCTGAGGGGGTTTTCGTTTGATGATGGGCCTTCTGCAGATTTCCTCTAGAGAAATGACTATTCGGACCCTCCGTCCCTTTTTAATCGGGCTATCTGCCTTCTTATTTTCGAGTTAGGAGTGTCGCTGCTCTTCAGCAGAGAGAACGGAGAGGAGGCCGCCCCAGCTCCTTCACACACTCTGCTGAGTCCCCACGGCAGGCAGGGGCGAGACTGCAATGGATGACAGGACGACAAAGAAGATGCAGGGATAAGGGATCTACGCAAACCCAATTTTGCTCTCTTGAGGAATTATTCTGACCAGAAAGGGTGACAGGGCGGTTAAGAGGCAGCAAGGCCCCTGACCGCAGAAGCGAAGCTGAGAGAACCCAGGGTCCCCTTTCGGAGCTGAAGATTCTTGACCCAAGCAAGGCAGGTGGCCCTGCGAACCAAAAATCTCACAGCTAAGTCTCACGTGGCCTTCCTCCCACCCAAGGGCGGCAGCTGATGGCCACCGACTGCACATGCGCGGGATCGGGGCGCACGCGCGGCGCCCACTTCCGGGAGCTCTTCCGGCAAGATCGGTGCGCACGAGGGCAGAGCCGGAAGTGGCGCTCGGAATGGACGACTGAGGGTGACTAGGGAGGACAGAGGTGGCCGCTGGGAGACATGTGGACCACCGCTCAAACTGGCCCCTATCAGCACTCTGTATAGGTGGTAGTGCACTTAATAATTTACAGTACCAGCTTCGCATAAATTACATTTTTGGTTGGCGAAACAGAATTTCGAGGATACGATTGACATCATAATTTGGAGAATTAGTAATTCTTTTCCTACAGTGACTTGCCACTTTAAATTTGAATAAGGATGAGCAAAAGGCTATTGCAATGGATAACGGCAGTCCCTTGTTAAATTGACTAATTAGATCTGTTTGGTTTACATGAATATAAATATTTTAGAGTAAACCTCTAATAAGTGAGCAAACTTATTAAGATATAATTACTTTCTAAATTCTGTGTTTTAAAAGTCATAATTACAATGTGGATTACAAAGTATTCTACATGGAGCCTTCAGAAAGATTTGGCTGCTTCTCTCTGTAATTTCATTGGTTTAAAGCTAAACATGTTAATGTGGAAGGAAGAGTTTATAATTGGAATCCTTTCACTTTTGTTTTGACTTTTTTTGTGGGGGGGCCAGGTGTTACTGTATAGTTCACTATGTAGCTCAGGTTGGCCTTGAATTTGTGGCAATCCTCCTGCCTCAGCCTCCTGAGTGCTGGGATTACAGGTATGCACCACCACACCAGGTTTGGAGTCATTTTGTTTTGATAAAGCAAAGTCTTACTAAAAATAAATGTAGTATCTAGGCATGGTGGTGTATGCCTGTAATCCTCACACTTGGGAGGCTGAGGCAGGGTTATTTCTGTGAGTTCAAGGCCAGCCTGGCCTACAAAATGAGTTCAAGGCCACCCTGAATTGCATGGCTAGGCCCTGTCTCAAAAAGATAAATAAATACATACATATAGTAGTAGTGTGTAAGGTGAGAAAATGTGGAAGGAAACCATTCAAAGTAGAAGGAATTTCTGATTGGGTTTCATATTTCCACCCCCCAAAAAGATATACTTGTTACTTATGAAGATAAAATATGGTTATAAATGTGGATAATATACATATACAATATCAATATAAACAGAAATTGTACAAAAACATGTAAGGAAGCAATAGAAGTCAGTTTTAGGACAGCAGTTACCTCTAGAGAGAGAAGGGAGTGATTGGGGTTGGAGTTGTATCTGATCTTTCACTGTTAGGAAGAGTGAGAGGTAAGGTGAATTTCCCTTGTTATTTACTATATATTTGAATATTTCATTAGTTAATCATTGTTAAGCAAGGAAAAATGTAGCTTAAGTCTGATTGCTTGCTTCTAACGGACTAAATGTCCACGTTGATTTGAGAGCATATTTAAGGAAGGTTTTGAGGGTATGGAGGGAGTTACTTTTAGATGCTCAACATATACTAATAGTAACAAAAGCCACAGTTCATTAGGCACATAATACATGCCACGCAAGTTGTTGGAAACACGATGCTGCTCTGACAATAAGCATGTAAGGAAGGTGCGTCCTTCATTCCCACCGAGCAGATGGCCAGGTGAGCTGCGACTCCTGCCCGCGCATGGTGATAAAATATGCTAAGCGAAACTCCAACTTTCAAATGTCAAGTTTAATATCCCAAAGATCATTTCTTATGCAATAGCTTTCTTTTCCCCAAGAGTTATCTCTACATTTTAATATGTTTACTTGAGAAAAATCAGAAAATATAGACAGGGAGAAAGAAGATAAAAATTGCCCATACTTTCACTACCAGCCAGAGATAATGACTACCAGCATTTTGATGAGTGCCCTTTCATATGTTTCTCATGCATAAATTTGTATGAACTTTCAAATGCTTTCAGAAGAAACTGTGTCAAGAATTTCTCTATTGCTATTGCTTATGACACATAATATGGAATAAATTAAAAGCTTGGCTTTTATTCCATACTTGTCCGTATATATATATATTGTTTAAAGCACAGTTTAAGCTGGAGGTGGGAAGGCTTCGTTTTTTAAAGCCATATACAGGGGGAAAATAGGTAAGCTACTTTTTCGAAAAAGTCATGGAGTTTATTGCATCGATGTTTTTAAGACAAAGCCCAAGACAAAGCATAATTACTACATTATATTTACCAGTAAATCAGAGAACCAATAGTGAGCATATTGCCCTGTTGTGGGTGGTTTCTTTCAGAGAACAGGTGGCCCTTTATTTTAAGAAAAAGGGAAAATGGCAATATAAAATATGAAAGCAAATATTTCAAAATTTAAGGTCTATCATACAATTGTAATCCAAAATTCTGAAATGCTAAAATGAGAAAATTTATATATTTGTATATTGCTCTCAATATAATTTATATATTGTTTACAAAAATCTGTCTAAATATTTTATGTGTCCCCAGTAGATTTACTTACTTCAAGAAATGTGACATACATCATTTGTGAGACTGAGGCAGGGAGATCAAAACCTCAGCTACATAGCGAGACCCAGTCTCAAAAACAAACCAAAAAAAGGAGAAAAGGAGAAAGAAGGAAAGTGACACGTATTCATGCAGATCAGTGATGGTGATGCTTTTAGAGCTTTCAGTGGTGCAGACTTCGTGCGTGCCATAAGCTCACCACCACTGATACAAGTTATCATGATACCCTCTATTCCTTGTTCCCAGAACACTTTTCCAGGAGGAATTAAGTGTTCGGTTAACAAATTTGTTAAGTCCCTGTATGAATAAGATACAAATTCCTCACCAATTTCATAAATCCAAAATTCAATTTTAAACAACCTGGTAGTATTAGTGTTATGTCACATATACAGGAATCATTGATTTCTAGCATTTTTAAATTTTTGAACACTGCCTGTGTACTTTTTTTTTTTTTTTTGAGACAGGATCTCACTATGCAGTCCAGGCTGGTGCTGAACTCATTGTGTAGTCCCAGGCTGGCTTCAGATTTCTGGTGATTCTCCTACTTCAGCCTCCTGAGTGCCACCATGCCCAGCTCAAAAGCTTTTCTAAGAATTAAGGCTGCAGTATTTTGTTGTGTTGTCTTTTTAAGATATACGCCTATATCTGATTTTGTTCTTGTGGTTTTGCATGTTTTTTTCTTTTCTTTGGGTACTGGGAATCACACTGTTCCGCTGAGTTATATCCCCAACCCTATATTGTTGTTGTTTCTTTTTGGTACTGGGGATTGAACTCGCGACCACTTGCTTTGGTATGCAGCTGAGTTAAATCCCTGACCCTTGTTGTTTTTTTGTTTTGTTTTTGGTAATGGGGATCATACTCATGACCTCACGCTTGCCAGGCGGGCGTTTATGCCACTGAGCTAAATCCTTGGCCTTACATTGTTTTTTCTTAAGGAAGGTCCTCAACACTATAGATTTCAGGCCATGCACAGCTTGAACTGCCTTTGCTGGGGCATTAGAAAAGGACGAGTGCTGTGATTTAAAGCCATCTCAAAGGTACCTGGTCTTCAGTGTGCCTGCTGTCTTTTAGTTTTGCTTCTGAAACACACCATCATCCCTGCCTGCTCCCTACCAATAAAGCGTTACCAAAGGACTAGAAAGCAGGCTCATTGAGACAGAAGGCACCTCTACAAATAAATCTATGCGATGGTCAGTTTAATTTGAACTTCAGATAATTGTCACTTGGCACATAATTATGCTAAAAATTATCTGAAATTCAAATTTAAGGAGCAAAAATCCCCTGTATTTTATCAGGCAACACTATGGATTTCTAAAATGGCTCCTCTAGCACATGGATCCTGTTTTGTTTATCTTCTCTCTGCAGAACCTGCTATGATGAATTCTTAGATTAATCATAGTGGAGCCAATACAAGAACCAGTAGCTCAGCCTCTTTTTTTGGTGGTGCTGGAACATCGGATTAAACCTACACTGAGCTACAACCTTAGCCCTTTAAACATTTTTTAACTTTGAAACATAGCCCCACTAAGCTGCTAAGTTACCCAGGCTATGCTTGAATTTACAACCTTTCTGCCTCAGCCTCCTGGAGTACTGGGATTGCAAATATGCACTGCCAAGTCTGACTCAACCCATGACCCTTCTTCACCTTTTCTCAGAAATAAAAATACACTGTGATTTATAGGTCCTCTTCCCAGAAAATGCACAAACACAATACCCTTGAATAGTTTTGAGACCCTGAAACCCGACTGTGTAAACGTGTAAACATGTCTTTCTGCTCTGCTCCTGACTTGTAGCCCCTTGTGTACTACTCTTTTGATTTTCAAAGTGCTCATAACAGCCTTAAAACAGCCTTATAATATCTTCATAGCAGCCTTATAATAAAGCAAGCCCATTTCACAGATGAAGAAATTGACATTAAGCAACAATACACACTCACCAATGGAAATCCAGTTCTTCCCATTTCAGTACTTTGTCCTGCGACGTAAGTCTTCTTTCTTACACTAAACTGATTTCACAGTCATTTCTGGATGGAAGTCAAAGTGGAAGAGCGAAAAAAGCGTTTGGACAAAGAATTGCAGGTACAGTCTTTTCTTTTTTCATTTTTTGTCTTTTTCTTCGGTACCAGGGATCGAACTCACAACCGCACACTTGCAAGGCAGGTGCTTATGCCACTGAGCTAAATCTCCAGCCCTGGCAGGTATGGTCTTGGTTCCTTCACTAAGAAGCTGTAGAGGCAGGGCTGGGGATTTAGCTCAGCGGCATAAGCGCCTGCCTTGCAAGCAGGCAGTCATGAGTTCGATCCCTGGTACCGATAAAAATGAAAAAGACCAAAAAAAAAAAAGAAGTTGTAGGGGTTTGGCTGAATCACTTCCACTCTCCAGCCACAACATTTTGTACCATCAGCTGGGCACAGTAGAATTCTCTGGGAAACACTACACTAATCCATGACTCCAAAAGACTCGTTGATTGTCCCTTTCCCCTAATAGGCTATAGTAACACTTATTTCCGTCATTTCTAAGGTACAGAAATGTGCCTTACAGATATAGGAGTTTGTACTTGAAAAAGCTTAGGAGTTGAGGGACATGGCCCTGCTCTGCTGGGGGGATTCAGGACTATCAGAATCCTGTCTCTCTGAGGGGATCTAAAAGCACAAGGAGTGAGATGACTCCCACAGGACATACCTGCTTTGGAGGGGAGGAGAACATTGTCCTAAATTGATTAAAGCCCTAACTATAATAACTGAAACAATAAGACTTTTAGAAAAAAACATAAAGGGAAAGCTTGATGCCATTAGGTTTGATAATGATGTCTTGCATATGATGCGAGAGTACAAGCAAAACAGGAAAAAAGTAGGTATGTCAGGCCGCATTAAAATGAAGGCTTTTATTGGACATGGTGTCACATGACTATAATGCCAGTACTCAAGAGGCTGAGACAGGAGGGTTACAAGTTTGAGGCTGGCCAGCCTGGGCAACTTAGCAAAATCCTGTCTCAAAATATAAATAAAATAAAAAGGGCCAAGGATGTGTAGCTCAGTGGTACAGCATTTACCTACTATGCAGGAGGCACTCAGTTCAACTCCCAGAACTGGAAAAAGAAAATTAAAACTGTGTATCAAAGGACACTACCAGTAGAATGAAATGGCAACCTATAAAGTGGGAGAAAATACTTGCAACTCATGTACCTGATAAGGGATTAACATCAAGACTACAAATAACTCCTACAACTGAACAACCACACAGAAAATCCAAACAATCCAATGAGAAAACGAGCAGAGCCAGGCGAGGCCACGCCTGCCTGTAATCCCAGCAGTTGGGAGGCTGAGGTAGGAGGATCCCTAGTTCAAGAGAGAACACGAAGCAAAACCACAACGAGACAACCTGTTGCACCTACTTGGATAATCACCATAAAAGGAAAATAACAAAACAAAAACAAGTGTTAATGAAGATGTGAAGAGACTGCAGACCTTGGGCATTGCTAGTGGGAATAGAATATGATGTAGCCACTATGGAAAGTGGTACAGTCCCTCAAAACAATACAAAAAAAACCCCACAGAAAACAAAAAAACCAATCTCCATATGGTCCAGCAGCTCCACCTTCGAGGAAAGAAGGACACCTTCAAAAGAAGTAAAAACAAGGACAGAAAGTTCATACAGCCGTGTTCACAGAAGCACTCTATGGAGTAGAAGCCATGCGCGTGGCCGTTGATGGGTGAATGAATAGATGGGAGGAGGAAGTGCTAGCATGCGTTACAGCAGGGGTGAACCCTGAGGACCTCATGCTGGCCGAAGGAAGCCAGTCCCAAAGGCAAACGCTGCGGGAATAACCAGCACTGGCGGAATCACACTCAGACCAGAGGGGACCGGTGGTTGCTAGGGGCTGGGGGTGTAGAAAGCAATGTGGGTTAATGTTTAATAGGCACAGAGTTTCAGGGAGGAAGATGAAAAAATCCAGCTTCTAGAGACGCAGGGGGTGCTGGCTGCAGAGCAGTGTGAATGTGCTTCATCTACACAACAGGACACTTGCACGATCAAAATGGTGCATTTTATGCTACGTTTATTTTATCACAATTTTTAAAAGGACTATTACTTGAGGATTTTTTCCTGTACAAATTTATTAATTCTAGGTTTTTGTATAACACAGCAATAGATATGAAAAATGTTTATTCTCTGAAAAAAAAAGACAAGCCAGGTGTGGCGGCGCATACCTGTAATCCCAGCCCTCGGGAGGCTGAGGCAGCAGGATCATTGTGAGTTCCAGACCAGCCTGGGCTACAAAGTGAGCTCAAGGCCAGCCTGCACTGCATAGTGAGACCCTGTCTCAAAAAGACCAAAACAAAAAGACAAAACTTCATATTTGTTTAAAATGATCAGACTGGGATGTGGGGGAGAGAACAAATAGGCCCGACTTCCTGGAGGTCAAATGAGTTCATAGTAAGGCCATTTAATGAGCCATGTAATACTAAAGGAGAAAGACCTTTTTTCCTTTTGTTTCTTCATGAAACTGAATTCAGCTAAATTGCCTAGGCTGGGCTCAGACTTAACGATCTTCTAGCCTCAGCCGCCCGAGTAGCTGGGATTATAGGCATGCACCATTTGATTTTTGAAACAGGGCTCCACAATGTTCCCCAGGCTGATCTTGAACTCTGGGGCTCAGCAATCTTCCTGCCTCAGCCTTATATGGGCTGAGGCCACAGGTGCATATAAGTTCTGTTTGAGGAGAAACAGAATTTGAATGAAGTAGAATCCAGCATTTCAATGCTCAGGGTGCCTACGGCTCTGAGGAGAGAAGTCTGGGCTGGAGAGTATACGCGGATGAGGCACTTGTTTGCAGAGAGCA